TATATACAGTACATGTACTTTGTAAAATCTATATCATAGTAGGTGTTGTGCTCTCCCATCGACATTATTTGCATACTCAAGGTAGCGAGCTGCTTCATAAAAATCCTTCTCACACGGGAATCAAACTGAGGTCTTCTGATTGCGAGGGCAAAGCGCGGAGTCGCTTCACCACAGACATCGGTTTTAGACGTTGTGGTACAATTTAGGATCTCCAAACTCAACATCCATTTCAAATAAAACCGACCAAATAGGCAGAGAGAACTATTGTAAGTATGGGTTGGAATGTTTCAGTAATTTAGAATTAGACAGCAAAGATCGGGGTCATATCGATACGACTATAAAATGAAGAGAAAAAAAAAAGTGGAGACCACGAAAAGGTGTTTTCTTCGGTGGGAAAGTGTGGTGGGAGGGGGTAGCAGGCCTAGGCTGTGGTGAGAGGATGGCTGTTGGGTAGAATAGGTACATCAGAAGAAAGACAACCTCTATTTTAATCCCCCTCCCACACACACCAAAAAACAACAACAACAAAACCGGAAAAGAAAAGAAAAAACCAAAAACAACAACAACCCCCCCCCCCCCAAAAAAAAAAAAATTAAAAAAGAAGAAAAAAGCCAACGCTCCCCGAACAATTCTCATGGAATACGCAACAAAATCTTCATTGTCCGCCGCTAAGTCTCTCCGGGGGTAACATCTAAGACGAGACAGCGACAAGCTGGCCCACAGAGTGGACGGACATGAAAAGTCCGGAGCGAGGCGATGTCCTCCCCCCGATCTCAAGCGTGCCGCACGAGTCCATAAACACTTCGGGCGGTCCTAGGTTAGTCCAGGGATTTGAGCTTTGTGGCGGGAAAGAGGGAACCCTTGGGGCTTTTGATCAAGTTGTAAAATAAAAAGGATTTTTCAGGTCAAGCTCATTCTTTATTTTTTCTCCCCAAGATTTTATTCCCTGTCCGTTTCTGATCGGAATTTTTGACGCCTCATCTTTGTGAGATTAGCGTTTATGATTTCTAAAATAAGAATGTTCACCCCCCACCCTC